AATTGTTACTATATCGATATGATTATCTGAAATATATAATAATTTACCTGAATGATCCAGGTAATTTAATAATACTCGGGTAGAGATTTTCTCAACAGGTCTAATCTCTAATTAGAATATCAAGAAAATGCTTATTTTATTATTGACTGATATGAAAATACATTTGTTAATTTAACTAATAAATTAAAAAATTACTAAGAAGAGAGCCAAGTAATATATTTGAATTAAGCTGAGGTGTAGAAAACAGGATTTTATTATAAACCTGGGCATCAAAGTTATCATTGTTATACAAAATATTTAATTTATAGTAAGAATAATATTTTTTGTCTAATTTATTATAAGTTTTTATTTATTGTTATAGTTTTGCCAATATGTCATAACACGTTCTTTATTCCAACCAGATTCTACGTCTTCAAGTTCATAAAGGATTTTATATAATAATTGATCATTTTCATTAGAATATTTGTATATAAGTAATTGAGAAAGAATCTCTTTTGCTTTACTACTTGTTGATCTGCATATTCATTTGGTAGGTAGAGTTTTTTCATTATTATCAATAATTGTTTTGCTATCACTATCATTAATATTAATATTTTTTTTCTTTTTTTATCTGTATTAATTGCTAAACTTGACAACTTATAAGTGGTTACATTATGTGCTCTTCAACCTTTAACATTACATTCTTCAATTTTTAAAATTTCTTGCCAATAAATAGAATTTAATCTCTTTATACCTTGCATATAGCATGTTGAAATGCGAAGAAACCCAATTTCATTTATTTTTTTAATATGTTTAAATAATTCATGATCAGTTAGATTAGATAAATAAAAGGCTATAGTTAATTTGTTAGAAAGCTTCTATATTGTTTCATTTCGGGGTTATATATTACGATTATTATAAATTACTATTATATCTTCTATATAGTCAGATATAAGTATTTTTTACTCTATCTATTTTAGGTTGAATAGATGATATATGTAATTTAAGTTTTTCATTATATTTGGCTTTATATGTTGCTTAACATATTTTACTCTATAAACCTCTATAGCTTCATCGAGAGCTAAATAATGGCCAGGATGGTTTAGATTTACTGAACATGCATAATGAAGTAATCTTTGTAAAAAAGGATCTTCAGAAACTTGGGCTAAAAAATGTGTTGTTGATCGTGCGTAATTACTTCTACCAGCAGCTATAAAAAGAGACGAAAATGCTAAAAGTGAATGAAATTGTAAGTCATAATTGCCTCGCCTTATTCCAATTTTATGTCTAATTACAAGTCCCATCCAACAAAAATACAAAATCCAAACTTTTACAATGTTATTTTCTTTTTCAATATCATATATTATTTCATTTTGGTTTCTATTTTTTAAATAGTTTTTTAATACAATATCTACAGCCATTCAAATTAGTTCTAAAACACGAAAAGTAGCATCGTAGTCAACAACTTTTTCCAATTTGTCTAAATATTTAATACCTAGATCTGCTGCTAAGTTAAAAATACCATATTCTAAAAAAATAGTAATTATAGTTGTATACATTGCTTTCGATGTGTGCCATTGTCCTAAGAGCAACTACACAGATTTATCTTTTTTTTGACTCACGATATGATATTAATCTACAAAAAATTGCTTTATCACATACAACATCTAAGTGTTCATTTTCTGATAATTGCAAATCTTTAAAGTACATTTCACATGAGTTATGAACGTTTAAATCACAGTTTGGCTGTTCACCTGGTGTGAAAATTACGAAGTTTGTATCTAAAACTTGACATCCTAAAGGTACTTCTTTTATAAGTTCATTATAAATATCACTAATATCCCAATTATCTAAGCATTGTTTTATAAGTTTAGTAAAAATGACTTCATAGTTTTTATATTGATTTTTTATAAAGGCTGATTTACTAAATAAAGTACAATCGATATTGATATTGATATTATTGTTGATATTATGAACAATGCTATTATTATTGCTAATTGTTTCATTCGTAGTAATATCTTTAAGAGATTTAAGTGATAATGGCAGTGTAAATTGAAAAACTACATGTAGAGTAGTATGCGAAGTATTTCTAGTATCATCAAAAATATTTCCGTATTTAAATGAACTTTCTTTAAAGTCTATATTATCGATAACAGATACATTTCAAACATTTTCCCCTTTTATAAGTCTTTGAATTGGATTTGTTTTAATCATTCTACATTGTTCTAATTTTCTTTCATATCATTGTGTATGGGATACTACACCTGCAGTACATAAAATACTGTAGAGTGAAGTTAATAATTTAGATTTATGTGCTAATGAACTTATTACATATATAAACCAAATGTCCGTAGCAGGAAAAGCAATGGAAAGAATTACTGAAACAAAAAATATTGCTATTTTATTTACTCAGACTTCATCAAAAGTTTTCATTTCTAATCCTCATTGTCTTCTCTTTTTATTAACAATATCATGTTTTTTTTTTTGTAACTTAGTAATTAACCTATTGAAAAAATTTAAGATGTATTGTGGAAAAGCAGCCTGATATTCGGCTAAAGAGTTTGGTTTTTCAAGAGCTTCTTTGTTTTGCCAAACTTCATTTCTAGATTTCCATACTGCGATTTCTAATATTTCACCATTTTTTTTTGATGTTTGAGGTGTAAGATTGGAATCATTTTCTATTATTTTTATAATATTAATATATTCAAGTCGTAGAGCCACTTTTATAAATAAAAGGCTTGGTAGATTTTTTATATGTGATTTGGTTTATCAATAAAAAGTAATATTGAGCTAAGATATATTAATAATTCTTTTTTTTGTTCATGTTTATCTGATGCTGCTACATTTAAAATAAATCATCCTAATAACTCAAGTGCTTGTGTTGTATCATCGTTATATTTACTGTTACATAATTCAAGTTTCTTATTAATGCCTGGACGTTGAAAGAAATGACCACCTTGTAAGTTAAAATACTGATTACAGATATATCGAGGTTGGTATTTATGATTAGAATTAATATTACTATAATTCTTAAATGCCGAACAAGTTTTAAGACCCATGCAAGGTGCTTGTACAGTTCGTCCTATTATACATGTAGAATATTGAAGACAACTACCTTTACGACTAAAAAAGTATTTGTTTTTATTACAAAATAAGCATCGGTGATAATTTACACAACTTTTTTTAATAGATTGTATATTCTTGAGCTTTGCATCGTAAAGTTCAGTTTGATCAAAAGTAAAATGTGATCCACATACTCCTAAAGTATATTATTATTTTTGACTGACTCAAATGCTTCACTATCGATTTCTCAGATACCAAGTAATTGTGCTAAAGGTCATTGTGTTTTTTGCTTAAATTTAGAATATCATTTTACTTGACCATCAATTACATGTAAAAGGACACAAGAAGTTAATGTTTTGGCTTTTTTATGATTATCTAAAAAATAATTTAGGCCTTCATTGTCTGTTGATTCTGTTACAAATGATGCCATTTTAAAGAATTCATGTTCTAGATCTTCCTATTCGATTTCACAATCATCATTATTTTCTTTTTTATTAGCCAATATTTGAGCCTGTTTAAAAGCAAATTCATCCTATATAAATGGTTGTATTTCAATGCTTTCATTAACTATTGCACCTTCAGATGCAATACTTTCTTCAATAGTTATAGAACTTGTACTATTATCATAAGTATCATAATCACTATCAGGATCCTTAATATCGAATGCTTCATTTATTCCATAGTTGTTAAAAATTAAAATATCTTTGCTTAATTTTTTGTTTTGGGCTATAAGATTTATAAAAATAAAGATATTAAATAAGTAATTATAATAATTTATCTGAAAGTCAAGTTAATTGTAACAG